TCCAATTTGACCACATTTCCACCAGGTTAAATTGTAGGGGTGTACCGAGACACCGCTACCCACCATATCCATTGTAGGGGTGTACCAAGACACCGCTACCCACCATATCCATTGTAGGGGTGTACCAAGACACCGCTACCCACCAGTTCCAGTGTAGGGTGTACCAAGACACCACCACACCCCCAGGTTCGGAGCCACCGACGGGCTCGAATCTACCAACCACATGCAACACTGCCCAATCCACACTAAACCTCAGGATGCCCACTTTCTCCTCCATCTACCCTCTGATTTAACCAGGCCATTTCCCGCTGCTGTGAAAAAACGGGAAATCAACTAACCTAACCAAATACAGGGAGTGTGGGAGGGACAACTGACAGGTAAGCTTAGGTTCAGTTAAAATGGCCACTTCATATAATGGCTGGTATAAATACTCCCCTGTGGCTGCTATGCCTTCCTCCTGGCTCTGTCAAGGCCTATTCCTCTTAGCTGCGCTGATCCATGGGCTACATGACAGGCGCACAGTCGGATTTGCCGGCATATGCGCTAACCTTACCCAAACCCCCATTAAAACACGGACACAGGTTATACTGTTGGAAATAATTTGTCCACAGCTTTATTAAATTATTAATAAATAATTAAGGAATAACAAATGGGGTCATTGCCAACAAATTTTAATAATGTTAACCTCCCCCATATACATAACATACCCCTAGCAATGACCCCACAATAATAACAATAGATAACAATATAAATAACATGTTAACACAGAAACTGGCCGTCCAATTTGACCACATTCCCACCAGGTTAAATTGTAGGGGTGTACCGAGACACCGCTACCCACCATATCCATTGTAGGGGTGTACCAAGACACCGCTACCCACCATATCCATTGTAGGGGTGTACCAAGACACCGCTACCCACCAGTTCCAGTGTATGGTGTACCAAGACACCACCACACCCCCAGGTTCGGAGCCACCGACGGGCTCGAACCTACCAACCACGTGCAACACTGCCCAATCCACACTAAACCTCAGGATGCCCACTTTCTCCTCCATCTACCTTCCGATTTAACCAGGCCATTCCCCGCCACAGCTCAGGACTTGACACCTAAAGCTCCTGAGCGACCCCCACCACACCGGAATAAGGCCTGTTGAATGCCTTCCTGAAGGCCCAATTTAAACAGATCACACCTTACATCCGAAAATGTATCCCATCCCACCTGGAGTACCCAGGGAGCTTTCTTCCCAATTCGTTGTGTCTCACTGTTACACCGCCCCCACCTCTGATAAATACTGCCATCAATTTTTTATTAAGTCGTCCTCGACACCGAGCTACCACGGCCGGGTACGTAGTATGTCTCCAATGTAACCAAGGAACCATCTCGGACCGCACCACCACCACACCCGTGGCCAGCTCCCATAGCTGGTCCACCTCCCTCTGCCTCCACCTGATCAATTCCTTTTCCGGGACCATGCCAATATCCAGAGTGTCCTGGAAAGTACCCTTTGTTACCTCCCGGAAAAATTTCTCCCCTAATGTCTTGCCACCAAAATCCCTGAAAAGCAAAACCACTCCTGCTCCACCAATTTCAAAGGAAAGCCCAGTTACGTTTGAACTGAAACGCGGCTCCCATCTGTGCCCCTTAGATATAAGAATGACCCACCAACCATGTCACCAAACCTGAAACGAAAGTAATTAGCGACACGGCATAGCCCCAAACACAAACCCATACGTCCATAGCCATTAAACCAAATAGACTGGCCTGAAACAGGACTTAAACCGTACTGACTCCCACCTGCCTAAACGTTTCCCTAGGTCCTCACTTAAAACCAGGTGGGGTGCCTCTGTTACCGCCATCACCTGGGAAGAATGGGTCCCAAAGTGCCCGGGATCCAAACCCAACATTGTCAAACCCCTTCGAACAAACACCTGCGGGAATTGAATCGTGACAGCACCGATCTGTCCCCTTTTACCAGTAAGCCACCCGGGATGTCCGGGCAAAGCTCCAAGTAGCATGATGCGCTTAACACCGGGCGTACCCCTGACCCCGGCAGGGAATATAGCTTTACCAAACCTCCTTTACCAGACACATTCGTTCTTGAACAACCCTACTGAATCGTTACCTTAACCGACTAAGGTTCGACAACCAAGTGTAGAACTCCCCAACACCTGCCCGAAGGCACTCACCAGTTCCCCAATCCAAATTGCCCCAAGCCTCCGAAAAGGCCACCGCAAGCAAACTCACTGCAAAAGTAGGGTAATACACCACCAGGCGTTGCGTTACCCAAGGAAACCCGCCACCGACATATTTCATATCTCTCCGTAAGACCCGCGATGCCTGACGGACGTGACAACGTTCCGTCACTTCCTCCCAATCAGTCAGTTTAAACCCTAACGACAATGCCACCATGCTCCTGTCCCTTGCTGATGGAGCTAACGCTGAACAAACAAACGGCTTAGGAACCACCGCAAGGTATCCCTTCGCCCCTCCTTTGACTGGGCCCCCACAGTGAAACCAACCGCCTTGTCCCACATATCTCAAACGTTCACATAGGCAGTCCCTCTGCCCGGTGCCATAGGATTCTGTATCGATCCTCCAAGCATGGCGTCTCGAAGCGTCCGTAAACAGCCCCACTGCTTCCGAAGACACCACTTGCTCCCGAAAAAAGGCCTTGCCATTGAAGTCCCTCAAAAAACGATCCCAAACCTCTAAGTCCGCCCTCATGTCCGCGGAAACCCTGATATAGTGTGACGGCATCCGTATCCCGCTCGTCGCCCGCGCCAATCGTCTACAGAAAACCCTCCCCATGGGTATGACCCTGCACGCAAAGTTCAGGCTCCCTACCAGAGACTGTAATCCCCTCAGCGTCACCTTCCGTGCTCTCCCAATTGTGTGCACCAAGTCTTTCAGCTTGCGCAACTTGTCCTGTGGTAATCTACATTCCCCGATCTCCGAATCGATCTCCAAACCCAGAAAACTGAGACACGTGGCGGGTCCCACGGTCTTGTCCTCCGCCAAAGGAACCCCCATCGTCTGCGCTACCCATTGGAACACCCGTAGTATCTGCTTGCACCGGTCTGAGCCTCGAGGGCCGACACATAAGAAGTCGTCCAGGTAATGCACAACCGTGCCCCCCTCCGATTCCCGTCGCACTACCCATTCCAGAAAAGTGCTAAACTTCTCGAAATAGGCGCACGAGATGGAACAACCCATCGGCAAGCACAGATTCACAAAGAAGCCCCCTTCAAAACAACACCCCAAGGGTGATGACATGACGGGTGTATGGGAAGCAGCCGAAACGCTGCCTCCACGTCCACCTTTGCCATCAGCGCTCCCCGCCCAGCTCTCCGTACCAACTCGACTGCCCTGTCAAATGATGTGTAAGATACTGAACAGAGTGCTGCGTCGATGTCATCATTCACCGATGACCCTTTAGGATACGATAAATGATGAATCAACCTAAACTTGCCAGCCTCTTTTGTAGGGACCACTCCAAGTGGGGATATCCGCAACTCCGCTATAGGAGGATACGGGAACGGCCCCGCCATCCTCCCCAAAAGGACCTCTTTGGCCATCTTTTCCCGCACTACCTCCGGGCGTTCCTGCACCGATTTAAGATTGGCACAAACCGCCCCTGGTTCCTTAACCGTGAAGGGGATCACGAAGCACTCCCTAAAACCCCGCCACAGGAACGCTGCATCCTCCTGGTTAGCGTATTGCCTTAGCCAAGGCAACATCGCTCCTAACCTCACTGGGGACGCCCCCAGTTGCAGCCGAGGTGGCCGCCACCCCTGCGGTTCCACCCCCTGCATTGAGCTTACCTTTCTTGAAGCATCTGCTGGCACCGTGACCCTCGTTGTACGTCCAGCACAGGCCCTTCTTTTGTCCCGCTGGCACAGCCACGCCTGAGGCTGTCCCAGCTGCCCCGAGAAAGGGCGCAGCCTTCTGCGCCATCATAATCCTCATCCATAGCGGCAGGTCCATTTGGTCCCACCGCATGGTAGGGTTGGCCGCCAAGCGTTGCCGAAACTGCTCATCATATTTCCACCACGCTAGGCCCCCATACGTCCGATACGCATCGCCTATCCCATCCAAGTAGCAGAACAGTTGCGCACAGTTCCCTGGCCTTTTTTTTTTTTTTCCCTATCACACTAGCCAGGATGCAGAACGCCCTCAGCCAATTCCCCAAAGTCTTCGGTATCTTGCGATACCTCCGCCTTTTTTCTTCTTCCTCCTTCTTGGCGTCCTTCTTATCCTCCTCCTTCAAGTCTAGGAATTCCTCCAAAGGGAGCAAAGAAAAATTTTCCATGAACTCCCCCTTCCAAATCTTTTCTTTAACCTCTAATTTCAGGTGACAACCTAGGGGGCCCGCAAAAGATACGTGTACGTTTTGACGTGCCGCGTCCGAAATGTCGCCACACCCGACCGCCGACTCAGCCCCCCCATCCGCCGCACCGGACGCCACTACCGCTTCGCTTACCTCGCCTCCGCTCGCCGGTTGGACCCCCGCCCCTATTGCCTTAACCGCCGTGTCAGGGGACCATACCTTTCCGAACTGTAATGGTGATTCCCCCTTCCCTGACCATGCCTCCAATAGTGTTTTTAAATAGCCCAATAACTGTCCGGAGTGTTGTGCAGATATGGACTCACCGTTGGAGACCCCGGCCGTGCCAGGCTCCGGGGTTGCCGACCTTCCGTCCACCCGTTCAGGCTCCGGAGCATCCGGTTGACGCCGACTCCCATCCGCCTGATCCCTCCTCAGGACCGTAGGGGTAGTGCTCTGCGACCTGTAAGGAGAAGACAACCTGGGTAGTCTGTACTGCTGGGCCCCTACCCGTCCTTCCTCCCTACGCTCTTCTCCGCAATTCCAAGCTTCGCACCGCCTTGCCGGCCTAGCTTCCCTGCTCCTGGGGGCCCGCTGCTGTCCTAGTGCACTGTCACCCGATGACCCAGATGCGCTGCGCCGCCTCCGCCCCCGCCCGTCCTTGGACGCGGACCTCCTTCTCCCCGCCCTGCAGCTGGTCCTGGAACCACTGCGCCTGCTATGCGATGGACTCCTGTCCCTGCTCCACTGCCGATCAGCTGACCTCCTGCTGCTGCCGGGCCTGGCGCCACCGCTGCGCCGCTCCCGTCTGTACTCCTCCCGCTCCCTGGTCCCGCTGCGGTGCCCCCCGTGAGAGCAGCCTGAGGGGCCCAACCTTCCACTGCTACTGACTTCCCTATCCCGCGCTGTACTGCGTGTGTCCCCTTTCTCCGCTGTACCTGGCCATCTGTTGGCCGCTGCGCCTGGCTCAGATGCCCCTTGCACCCCCTGGCAGCCCGCTGGAACCTCTGCCGCTCCCTGTCCGATCCTGCCGTCCCTCCTCCCTATGCCTGGCACTGTCGCCCGTCCCGGCCACACCTAAGGCCGCCCGCGAGCTGGTCCCGCTGACCAGGCCACCCCTGGGTTGCTGGGGGGCCGCCTGCGCTGGAACATCCCGCGTCCCGCCCGCCCCCTGCCCCTCAGTGACCAGAGTGGACTCACCGGGACGCCTCACTGAAGTGCTGCCGACCACGTGTTCCTCCGCTCTCCCGGCCGCCATTCCCGCCGTGCTGGAGCCCTCCTCTGGGGTTCCTGTGCTGCCTGCCGCCATCTTGGGTGGGGCGCGTTTACCAGCAGGCCCGCGCTTCGCGGCCGTCCTCGCCTGACCGGCACCGCGGCGCCGGCCGCTTCCCGGTGCTGTCCAACCCTCTTGCCTCCTGGCTGGGTGCCGAATCCATACTGCTGATGGGAGTGATCATGTAGTAGCAGCTCATTCCAGCCTCTCCTGTCCCTCCATGCTGTCTCCTGTCTCAGTACTGCCTGTTCTCCATACTGCTGATGGGAGTGATCATGTAGTAGCAGCTCACTCCAGCCTCTCCTGTATCTCCATGCTGTCTCCTGTCTCAGTACTGCCTGTTCTTCATGCTGCCTCCATGCTGCCTGTTCTTCTATGCTGCCTCCATGCTGCTGATGGGAGTGATCATGTAGTAGCAGCTCACTCCAGCCTCTCCTGTATCTCCATGCTGTCTCCTGTCTCAGTACTGCCTGTTCTTCATGCTGCCTCCATGCTGCCTGTTCTTCTATGCTGCCTCCATGCTGCTGATGGGAGTGATCATGTAGTAGCAGCTCATTCCAGCCTCTCCTGTATCTCCATGCTGTCTCCTGTCTCAGTACTGCCTGTTCTACATGCTGCCTCCATGCTGCCTGTTCTTCTATGCTGCCTCCATGCTGCTGATGGGAGTGATCATGTAGTAGCAGCTCATACCAGCCTCTCCTGTATCTCCATGCTGTCTCCTGTCTCAGTACTGCCTGTTCTTCATGCTGCCTCCATGCTGCCTGTTCTGCTATGCTGCCTCCATGCTGCCTTCTCCCTCCAGGGCAGGCAGCTTTCACAACTGACAGGTAAGCTTAGGTTCAGTTAAAATGGCCACTTCCTATAATGGCTGGTATAAATACTCCCCTTATGGCTCCCCCCTACCCAGCATGCTAGCTGTCACTAAATTCCTGTGGCTGCTATGCCTACCTCCTGGCTCTGTCAAGGCCTATTCCTCTTAGCTGCGCTGATCCATGGGCTACAAAACTGGTTCATGGATTGCGGGATAAAACTTACCAGGAAAGGTTAAAGGATCTTAACATGTATAGCTTGGAGGAAAGACGAGACAGGGGGGATATGATAGAAACATTTAAATATATAAAGGGAATCAACACAGTAAAGGAGGAGACTATATTTAAAAGAAGAAAAACTACCACAACAAGAGGACATAGTCTTAAATTAGAGGGACAAAGGTTTAAAAATAATATCAGGAAGTATTACTTTACTGAGAGGGTAGTGGATGCATGGAAAAGCCTTCCAGCTGAAGTGGTAGAGGTTAACACAGTAAAGGAGTTTAAGCATGCGTGGGATAGGCATAAGGCTATCCTAACTATAAGATAAGGCCAGGGACTAATGAAAGTATTTAGAAAATTGGGCAGACTAGATGGGCCGAATGGTTCTTATCTGCCGTCACATTCTATGTTTCTGTGGAGGGGTGCTAGCACAAAACGCCCCATTCACTCATTCCCATCCCTGTGTTACAGCTGGCAAGTTGCTTATATAAAACAAAGACACAAAGAAAAGTTAGGGAAAATACCTCCATGGCTGGTGCACTAAAATGGGGCACTTATAGCCTGTGGAACTGATCACCCACTGTCAGTAATCGCCAGAATGTCGCTTGGTGACTTACTCAGAAAGTGGTAGTTGTGCTTTATTACAGGGAGCAGTAATGGAGGGAACATGTTTAACAGACACAGTTACTGCCCACAACTCCTTCACAATAATTGTTACAAATCCCGGCTGTTAGCGCTCTGTGAATTTACACATTAGTTTAGTGATCACACAGCTGACAATCTGTTTCTGGCTGTTGCACGGATTGACAGGTAATTCCCTTCTTTGTGAAATCAATCTCAGAGTGTGCGACTCTCCATAAAAAGTGACCTGAATCAGCCCGTTTTAATTCGCTCTGACACACCTCGTCAACAGCAAGATTAGCATCTTGAAATGTGCAGTTAGGAAGGGGTTAATGCTGGCGATGGGGGCACAGTGCTAGATAAACCCTGTGATTTTCAGGGCTCTAAAAAATAAATAAAGCCTGATTTGGGGGATAGAACACCCAGGACTCATTTGTGAATAGAAACAAAGCGCTGGAAATGAAACATTACCAATATATTGTGTGGCGAAGATTTAACAAGACCTCGATTTACACCTCCTAAGCTCTGTATTTATAATATGAATATAAATGATGAAGTGTAGTGTGCATGGGGGGTAGTGTTTATCCAGCCAGTTTAAAATAAAAATAAATAGCAATGTTATTGAGGGTTAATGTATCAGTAGCAGCTAATCTTGGCACTGCAGCTATTCGTCAACTACATTCCCCAGAATGCTCAGAAAGCCTTTCAAAGCGATACATATTTATTATCAAAGTATAATCTGCACCTCACTGGGGGCAGCCATATTGGGATAATTTGCATATGTTGCCTTCCCCAGTAATAGAAGACAATAAGCCTGGGGATAATTAGGAGGCGGAGCTTGAGGAAGGGAGGGACTTCTGCACAGGATTTGCCACCCAAGGCATATCTCTGCTAAACTAAAATATTCCCAAAACTTCGGATCCCTGCTAAGTTACTGAAATCTTAAGTATAATAGGGCATATCCGTGTGGAGTGAATGGTAGCAAATTAAAAACTAGTTGTAAAATTAAAGCCATAATGGTGAACGTAAAACATATTCTCCAACAAGCTACAGTCACAGTTTGGCCATTTAAGCCTGAATTTTGCTATAGTGCAAATGATAAATGAGACATTGAACACATTCCTTGCTGTATATTACAGCCTGTCACTAAAGTGGGCATTGTTGAGAAATCATAGTGAATTTAAAGTTCATTTTCCATTCTAACTAATAATAATGCTGATTTAAAATATTTTTGCAATTCGGCTACTTTAACCTAACATGTCAGGGGCAGTAGTGTGTGGTGCAATGTGTGAGGGGTACAGTGTGTGTGTATGAGTGGTGTAGTGTGTGTGAGGGATATAGTTTGTTTGTGACTATAAATGGTGTAGTGTGTGAGGTGCAATGTCAGTATGTTTGGGGCAGTGTGTGTAAGGGGTACAGTGAATGTGTATAAGTGGTGTAGTGTGTGAGGGGTACAGTGTATGTGTACGAGTGGTGTAGTTTGTGTGAGGATACAGTTTGTGTATATAAATGGTGTAGTGTGTGAGAGGTGCAATGTGAGTGTGTTTGGGGCAGTGTGTGTGAGGGATACAGTTTATTTGTGTCTATAAACAGGCCCGGACTGGCCATAGGGCACACTGGGCAAATGCCGGTGGGCCGCGGTGACCGTGGGGCCGAGGCCGGCAGGGGAGGTCCCGGTCTATGCAGGGCCGGCGCTATCCGAGCGCCGGCCCCGCTGTTTGCCACGACGGGCCGGTGGGGAGATCAAAGCTCTCCCTCACCGGCCCAAATGCGGCCGCCGGCGGGGAGAGAGGGAGGGAGACAGCCGCCAGGAGAGGAGGACCCGGCGGAGCTCTAACTTGCAGCTCCGCCGGGTTCCTCTTGCGAGATCCGGCGCGTTTATCTCGCGAGAGTGAACTCTAGCCTGTGAGGCTAGAGTTCACTTACCCACGAGGACCACTAGGGAACACTGCCACCCAGTCCCAGCGTGCCAGTCCCCCCAGGCTAAAGGTAAGAAGGGAGGGGGGGACATAATGCCTGTTTTTTGTTTTTGTTTATCTACCCCCCCTAAACACACACACAATAACATTTATACAGCACTCGCACACCCATCACCCATAGCACTCTCTCACACAGCACTCACAGCACTCTCTCACACAGCACTCTCTCACACAGCACTCACAGCACTCTCTCACACAGCACTCTCTCACACATCATATACAGCACTCTCTCACACAGCACTCACAGCACTCTCTCACACAGCACTCTCACACCCATCACACACAGCACTCTCTCACACAGCACTCTCACACCCATCACACACAGCACTCTCTAACACAGCACTCTCTCACACAGCACTCACAACACTCTCTCACACAGCACTCTCACACCCATCACACACAGCACACTCACACCCATCACTCACACACGGCATTCTTACACCCATCACTCACACACGGCACTCTCACACACACCGTACCCCTCACACACACACACATACTGCACCCCTCACATACACACAGAACCGCCCCCCCCCCCGACACACTGCACTCACACATACACAATACTTCCAAATATATATATATATATATATATATATATATATATACACACACACACTCACTACACTCTTAACATACACACTCTGGATCCCCTATACACACATGCACAATACTCTTTCCTGGCCCTTTTGTCTCCTGGTTTATAGAGACACCAGAGACAAGTTGCAAGGAAACACAGCGCAAGCATGTTATTAAATTTGCTTTCACTGTGCAGAACAAATACAGGACTTTTTTCTCATGCTAGAGCTCTTTAGCAGAGCTCTGCGCATGGTCTGCCCTGGAAGAGCATTGAACCAACATGCTCACTTTGAGAGGAGGCGTGTTTGTCTTGTCTGACAAGATTTACAAACTGTGCAGTGTGAGTATGTTTGGGGCAGTGTGTGTGAGGGGTGCAGAGTGTGAGAGGGATACAGTTTGTTTGTGTCTATAAATAGTGTAGTGTGTGAGAAGTGCACATTAATCTTTGTCTGTGTAGCCAAAAATTATTGCACTGGCCCTGAGTTTATGGGAGGCAGTGTGTGTGTGTGTGTGTGGGGGGGTTTAGTGTGTGTGTGTGTGTTTGTGTGTGTGAGGGGTGCAGTGAGTGAATGAGGGGCAGTGTGTGTGAGTGAGAAGTGCAGCGTGTGTGGGTGGTGCCGTGTGTGTGAGGGGGGCAGTGTGTGTAAGGGGTGCAGTGAGTTTATGGGGGCAGTGTGTGGGGGGGGTGCAGTGAGTGTATGGGGCAGTGAGTTTATGGGGGGCAGTGTGTGTGTGGGAAGTGCAGTGAGTGTATTGGGGCAGTGTGTATGAGTGAGTGGGGCAGTGTGTGTGTGTGAGAGAGAGAGAAAGATGCAGTGTGTGTTTGAGGGGTCAGTGAGTGTGTGTATGTGTGGGGCAGTGTGTGTGAGGGGTGCAGTGATTGCATGGGGGGTAGTGTGTGTAAGGGGTGCAGTGAGAGTATGGGGGGCGTTGTATGGGGGGCAGTGTGAGTGAAGGGTGCAGTTAGTGTATGGGGCAGTGTGTGTGAGGGATGGGTGCAGTGTGCGTTGGGGCAATGATGGGTGCAGTGAGTATGAGGGGGCAGTGGGTGTATGGGGGCAGTGTGTTTCAGGGGTGCAGTGAGTGTATGGGGGTACAGTGTGAGTGAGGGTTGCAGGCTGAGCTCCGGGGTCCTCTTCCCTCCGGCTGCCAGCAATGTGACTGTAGGCCGGAGGGAAGGCCCTGGATGGGAGAGTGAGGGAGAGCCAGGGGGGAGGCAAGGGAGAAGGAGCATTGTACAATTTCTTGGAGGGAGGTGGGTGTGCAATTGCCCAGTTGCCTCTCCCCTTCTCCCCCCCCCCCCACAAACCGCCAATGCAGGGAGAGGCCTATTTATTAATCAAAGAGGAATCCAAAGGAACTGCTTAGTGAATAGTTGTTAAAGGGAACCTCCAGGCACCACAACCACATTTCTGCAGCCATTTTGTGAACGGGTGGCTACTAATTGGCTTAGCGCACCAGCTGGCACTGTAAGCCAATAAGCTGCGCCCCTGTCTGAGACTTACTGTTTCAAGACTTGGAGAAAAGCGAGATGGGAGAAGCTTAAAAACGTTGTGGTTAAACCATTCATTAACGGTTAAATCCTTAAAGGTCAGCCAGCGTGAGGGACACCATAACAACTTCATTGCGATTACATTGTTCCTTTAATAAATAACTTTGCATAATATGACTGCTGCATACTACAGAGACAAACTTTTCTCGCACTGTGCAAAGTGTCTAGGAATCCGTAGAGGATCTGTTACAGTATCACGTCCTGAACACACAGAGAGATAGACGGATACTGACAGCTGCCGTCACAGC